AGAAATATTGTAACTTGAGGATAAGATGTTGCGTCCCCTACCATACGAGATCTGAGAGCATTTATCTGGATTCAGAAAAAGCTTCGATTTCAGGCACCAATCATAAAAAGTATCMATATCACGTTGGAGTTTGGATACATCTTGTGGATTTTTGATTGCTGCAAAAATTTTTAAGTCATCTACATATAAAAGAAAGTTGGCCATAACTCCGAATTTCGGTAGTAACTTCTAATAATTTTGACTCGTTGTTGGTTGGTATATCTTTCTATTACGAAATGACAAACCTTTCTGAAGAAAAATGTCGAAAGAGCGGGAAAAAATATGGAATCGTTTGTTGTCCCTATCGGTTTACTTTTGTAGCGTCATTTTGAAAAAATCTTTGTAAAAAAAATGTACGTGTCACGTTGTTAATCCGTGATGGACTCCTAAGCTACTGAACCGATTTAGTAAAATGTAGTACACTGTCCAGTTCGAATCAACTTAGAAGATAGCATAGTAAAAACAATTTATAAATAAGAAATATAGTGAAAGATATTTTAAATGGATGCCCTATTAGAATAGAATAGAATAGAATAGAATAGTATTATTTCAGGTAATGCACCGCGACCTAGGGTATATTGTGCCCTCTCCTATATCACATGACCTCCCAGTGCGCTAGTGAGGTGATGTGATCCCTGCTGATGTAAACGGGATCCAGGGCCTTATGTCTTTTCCAACGCTTTTAGTGTCGCTTGACTATCACTGAGAATAGCTATGCGCTGGTTGCGATAGTTGCGGCTGAGCTTGACTTCAGCTCACTGGCAAATGGCAAAAACTTCAGCCTGGAAGATACTGGGGAAGCAGCCGTTGGGTATGGACAGCTTGGTACGCGGTCCCGCAATACCTGCCCCAATACCGTCTTTGCAGCTTTGACAGTCTCCGAATCACCGAAGGCTGCGCTGCTATGGTGGCTTAGGCAACCGCTCCATAGGTGATGATAGGCCTTACTATCAGGGTAACAGGGTACATGCATTTGGACAGCGTTAAGTCCAAATGCCTACTCCACCCTAATGATGAGTCTAAGGTGAGGCCAAGGAATTTAACCTCCTTAGACATTGCGGTATGCGGATGCGAGGACGAAGTTCGTCCTTCTTTGTCTTTCACCTGTACCGCCACCAGATCTTGCGTTAGAAACTCTGAAATACAGAAAAAGTCTATATCGGCTATAACGACTACACAATAACGGGGTCAGATAACCTTGCTCCTCCTCGAGTTGAGGTCTCTTATCTCTCCTCTAAACACCCAAGGTTCCTGGATTAGGAGGATGCTCAGGTTATCCGAAATGAACCTCTTCACGATTACCGCCGAGGCCGCCGATGCGTGATGTAGGTTCACCTGAGGCATTTCTATGCCGGCTCTGGAACTTATAATATTGGTTTGATAAGAGACAGGTCCTCGTCCTCGATATCTTAATCAACCTGCATCTCCAGCCCTTCCAGAAGCTCTTGGGATGATGGCAGTATGCCTTTCTGCTCATTGTGGATCTCGTTGCTCCTGTTTTCATCCGCGGCGGTGGTCGCAACCTGCCCAGCCGAGATGGGGTCATTGGGTGACTCGTTTCGCTCTCCCGAAGCCACAGCGGCAGTCGCCTAATGCGCCCCCCCCTCTCCCCCGTCGTAGGTTCTTGGCTCGCCGCGGACGTTGCCTTCGGCCTCCATGGCCTCACTACTATTTTGCCGAAGTGGAAGTTCAGCTCGAATACCTTTCGCCTGATGTATTTATAGGATTCGTCATCTATCGTTATATTGAGGTTCCACCCTGAACCTTCAACACTACTTGCTATGACCATCCACGCCGAGGTACTTAGGCCCTCGTTTTGGTTTCTTACTAGACTAAGCGCGAAGTCGTAGTTTTTGTCAGCAGTTCTAGGAATAAATGCTACCATTCTGTCGACCAGAAGCATACCGTCCTTGAAGAAAATGCCGTTAAAGTGTAGCCGTCGTCAATAGATAAGGCCTTTACTAGGCAGTCCTGGAGAGCCGTCAGCTGTTGGGATCCCAGGGCCTCCGCCGGATAGTTGCGGGGCAACACTGCCATCCGGTTGCTCTTTACGGCCTCAGAGTGCTTATGACTTGCTGTTCTCATCGGCTGCTGGTTGGGGTTGGAGCGCTTTCCACTGGCTTCCTTTGGTCTGTCTTGACGAATTCTTTTGAGCCTTGGTGACTCCTGGATACTCATTTGGCACTTGAGAGTGGCTCAACTCATCCCCGCTCTGCGTGGGTCGCCTCCTTGATTCCACTTTTGTAAAACCACCTTCCTCTCCGCAGTCGATCCTGCTCGAGGGGGTTGTGGGCGGCGTTCGCGCGATTTACCGTAGTCGCGGTTGACACATTACGCGGAGTGCCGGTGCAGTAGGGCACGTCGTCATCGTCGCGGGCGTGCTCCTCAAAGAGAGCTCGTTCTTCCGGCGACAGGGCATCCAGGAAGCTGAACTTTCGTCTTGC